AATGCAAAGAGTAATACTTTCACAGCAATAATTTCCTGATGACCTTTGAGTTAATTACCCGGTCGCTTAATAGAGGTACAGTTTAAATGCAAAGAATAATGCTTTCACAGCAATAGTTTCCTGATGACCTTTGAGTTAGGGATGTGATTTTTCGTCATATTTTTAGCCAGTAAACATTCCGTTAGTTCGCCCACCATGTTCAGATCTCGGACTGAAGTTTTTTTGAAAACCGTTTGTATCAAGAATACTATATTTTATTTTATTTATCAAAATGGTCATGTTTTATTTACTACGGCTTTGCAGTATTAAAAAGACAATCCCTCTTGTAATTATTCAAGCGACACTGCGTTGTTCCTTTGGACCATTTAAATAGACTTGTATTGTCTTATTATTTCTATAATTAGAGTGAAGTGCTTATTACACATATTAAGAGTACCACATCAAGCATGACATTACAGTCATCGTATACGTTTCTCATGCGCAAAGTTTGCGTGAGATGCATGCTCTAACCGTAGGCTTTAGCGATTCCTTTCCGTCTTCCACTTCGCTAGATACGTGCTCAGTAAAATTTTGGTTGGCAAAAAAAAAAAAAAAAAAAAAAAAAATTGAGACGAAATAATAAAAAAAAAAAAAAAAAAAAAAAAAAAAAAAGGGTGCGGCAGCCATCAAAGAGGATACAATAACGTGGGTAGCGCAGTAGAAGTGTCTAAACTGAATATTTTAACCAGCTCTAAATAATAGATATATAAGAGGAGACCCGAGGGAATTGATGCTCATTATTTCAATTCAAAGAGTTTATAGAGCATGTTAATAATTATACGCGCTAATTATACGTCAATGACAATGCGTTATTTTCAATCATTTTACTACTTTAGGGAAACAAGAATGCACAGTCAAAACAGGTGACGGGTAAGACATAAGGGCTAGTTAGTTGGTGAATACAACCTGTGATTTTAGGTCAGTTGACTAATTTCTTCTATTGCAAGTGTTAGAATAAGAGGTAATTACGAGAGGGTATAGAAGAAAGATGATGTTGCCTAAGATCTCTGAGGAAAAGAACCTTAAAGATGAAAGAATCCAAGACTTTTGCGCGTCGATGAAAATCGAAAATTACAGTGAATCAAAGAAGAAACTCGATGTTCGCTCGATTTACGCGACAGAAAACGAATCCAGACAATCAAAAGAAGTTAAACCTGGAAAAAATCGTAGTGTGAGCGCAAACATATCGAAGTCTTCTTCGAACTCGAGTCGTGACCGTTTGGGATTTTCGAGGTCTCATTTGTTTTCGGCTAAGACGTCGAAAAGAACCAAATATAAAACTCCGAAGGAATTAGAAGAAACGATAGACTTGACCAGTATTGACGATGCAAAGAAGCTTACACGAAGGTATTACCAGGAATTAGGAATTTGCAGTGACGGTAGATGGAGCAAAGACATTGAATCGCATCTCCTAAAGTTTGAAGATGCTGACTTAAGTTTCCCAAATCTGCGGAACAAAGAAGAACTGTTTGAAAGAGCCAACAAATACGCAATTGAAAAACAGTCACTCCTTCGACAAAAGTCGACTTTTGAGGAAGACACGACGCTGAAACACACATCAAGACCTCGTGGGAAAGAGAACAGTGCGCGGGTCAAGACCAAAACGCATCCTAAACTTGGGATTCAACAAATGACGAATGGTTTTGATGAAATATTTTACTCCAAGCCAGTTTGTTGGGGGAGCATTAGTAATCAGAAATCCTATTTGATTTCTTCACACTTTTCTCAGCGTACAAACCGCCTTCCCAGCTTAAATACGCGCGCAGTGCCACCGAAGTACGGATCGACAAGCTGGCTTAATTCTGGCCGTACTGGGTACACGAACATGCACTAGTTATATGGCTTGGAAAATGACGAAAAAGATATAGACGCCTGCACACTATAAACATGCCTTTTGCCTTTGTATATATACTTTTTACGTTGTATATATTTGCATTTTACCGTCGTCTATATACCTTTTGTCCTCGTATACATTATATGCTTTTTGCAGTTGTATATATACTTTTTAGTCTTCAATAACCATTGTAAGATTTAGGCTTTTTAACGCTTTAACTTTTTCTTCAGATTCCTCGTACTGTCCAAAAAAAGATGGTTCAATAAAAGGTCATTAAACAAACTTTCCGGGCCTTGTCTTTGGGGTCCAGAGATTTTTAAATCTCGCTCCAGCGTTTGTCACTCCATTAGCCCGCTCGTTAACCAACTACAGCAAGCGAAATAGAACGTTTGCAGCCGACTCTCCGACCTGAACAACTTCTGAGGCGACAGGTTGTTTCGTATTTTGCCTTCCGTCCATTTTAGTACAAGCAATACAAACAATTTGAACTTCCACAGAACTTCAATAGATCATTTGAACCAAGCAAGGCGGAGGCGGAGGTAGTTCAGAAGTTGTCCCTCCTTTGACCGCTGCGCTTTTCTTGGGTTGCCTGTGCAACAAAAGCGCCGCGGTCAAAGGAGGAGACAGCGTGTGGACTAAGGTGGAGGCTTAGAAACGACTCTAAACCGGAGTACTATATAGGAAAACCAAAACGCAAGAAAAAAAAAAGGATTGTAATGAATTTTTCTTGATTTTTCCCTTCGCTTGTGATAGAAAACATAATCTTGATTTTTGAAAACATAATTTCAAATAATGCTATATTATAAAATGGGTTCCCTGTGGTAGGAATATTAACACAAGCTTACCAAGGTAATAATTTTGAATAGTTTTTAATCATCTTTTAATAACACACTTACTGACATACGTAAATGAAAAGATATAACTAGCTAAAAACTAGTGTGAGCTGCGTCGGTGTTTCTAATGAAACAGTAATGTTTAATCTTTCTAAGGGCACACAAGTGTCTAGTCTCCTTCGCAGCTGTCATTAGTTTGGGTCCCAGATCCTCTCGGGCCCTGTAGTGGAGAGGGCCCGTGGTGGTCTGGGACCGAAACTAATAACGGCTTCGGAGTTAGGAGACTAACAAGTGCCCGGTTACCTTTAATCTTGTTTTTATTATATCTTTGTATTGTAACACGATATAGTCTTCTGATGCTCAAGGTAAGACAACGTAGAACTTCTATTTTAAACCTTTCATCTTAATTATAACAATAACTTTATATAATCACCAAACTTTCTCTTGAATCAACCGATAACAGGTCACGTGACCCTGCCTCCCTTAAAGAGCCGTGTGAAAACGATCAGAAATGAAAAGAGCAGCTCAACTTTAGTAGGGAGGTGGAGTTTCAGATCATGACAAGCAAACCAGGAGAAATGGCATTGTTTATAAAATTTAATGTTTTACATAAGGATTTGTATGGGGAAATGTGCTGGACACTTTTTCCATACCAATCCTTATAAAATATTCGATTTTATAATAAATGTCATTTCTCCTACAATCAGCACTATTGCGCACTCTTACTGATATCGAGGTTTTTTTATTTCTGATGTTTGTTTTAACACAAATGTTCGTTTTAAGGGAGGTAAGGTTATGTGACCTGTTAGTGTGTGTATTGGTATCAGGATGTCATTGACAGTGTAGTGTCTAATACCATACAGTAACCTTAGATCTATCACTGCAGTTAAGATCACTCATAGACATTTAGTAGTTAGTAGGAGAGGTGAGTTGAATACCTCTTTAATCTTGGTACACAAACATGCAGTGACCGTAAATATATATTGTTTTTTAATATGATTGACATGGGCAGTATATTCAGAGGGGAAAGAACAAATGTATTCTTTTGGTCTGCACACAAACACCATTTAAATAGTTTTTAAAATAACTCTTTCGCAATCCAAAGTACCTTTCATGGTTCTGACTAGGACAATGGCAAATCAATCACCATTGCACATTGCAACAGTTTTCCCAATACAATTAAAACTTGTCCCACAAACAATTACAAAGTATCTGTTTTAAAGAGTACTACAAGGATTATGAGGTACTTTTATATTATTTTCACAGGACAGTAAACAAAACAATTTATAATCAATTATCTGTGATTAGAGTTTTCAATTCTGAGATACTCTGACCAGCTAATTAATTTCGTTGAATTTGTGGGACATAGCAACAGTAACTAAGGGGAGTCAGAACCATGAATTTACTTGGCAGAATAAAATCAAGGTTATGCCGGCATACCGGTACTTTAGTTAATCAAAATGTAACAACCAAAACATGCTTGCTAGACAGCAAGAAATAACCTGACAATAGCACACGTGTTGCAATCAAAACATGCTTGCGAGACAGCAAGAAATAATTTGACAATAACACACATGTTGCAATCAAAACATGCTTGCGAGACAGCAAGAAATAACCTGATGATATTACACATGTTGCAATCAAAACATGCTTGCTAGACAGCAAGAAACAACCTGACAATAGCACACATGTTACAGGGTGCTTGTTGTCACAATACCAATACATGTACCTACTGTAAGTACTGTCATAGTTATACTTAAATACTTAGGCCGTTGAAGCTCAGGCCATTGAAGCCTGGTTAACATGCTTTAACTAAGAGACAGTACATTAAAAAGCTTAACCACTGATGAAGATAATGGAACAAACCAATGGTAAATGTCGTGCCATTATACCTGGTGTTGAATGTCATTACCTTATTGCCTATGATCCTGATGAAGGTCTTGGCAGGTTACTTGATCCAGCTGGACTGGGATGCCTCTGAAAAGACATATGGCACACTTTGTATTAATGAAGTGATAAATTTTATGTGAAGTGTGATCGTCCGGGTGAGTGTAGTCTTGAGAAAGACTGTTCTTGGTGATGACTAACGTTTCAACAACCTGAGCAGAAGTCATCTTCAGAGTCCAGTGAAAAAACGTTTTTTGCTGTAATAATTATTAAATGGCCAGTTTCTGAAGGACATTTATAGGAGTTCCCGCCTTTGGTCATCACTGCTCCTATATGACCACATACAATGGCAGTCCCATCTCTACACACTACCTCAACCGGCATCAGAGGCATATAAAAAAAACACTGCAGACGTAAAGAAACCCTGGCAGTAACCACCCTCAGTGTCTGGCCTTTGCTAATGATTTCTTAAAATAAATGTGGGAAAAAATAGATAAATAAACAAAAAACAACAGCAACAAAAACACACAAAAAAAACACACAAAAATAAACACATTAAAAATGTAAGAGGAGGAGGTTGGTTAAAAAAACAAAACGAAACAAAAAATCATATATAAGGATTAAGAAATAAAAGGGAAAAACAGAAAATGTTTTGTATTTGCATATCGTAAATTGTAAATTTTCACGTCTTTGTATTAATAAAGTATTTATTGCAAAAAAAAAAAGTTGTGGGATGGTCTTTGGGTTGGGTGGATTGGAATTTGGTGCAATTTAACTCAAAGAGGACCCTTGTCTTCTTTTGTGCAGCTTCAGCCTGCAAGCAAAATCTCAAATGACAGTCATTGAGTAAGGTACTGTATTGTGTACTTACATGGTGGATGATGTGGTGAGTAGGTGGAGAAGATCCAGCTGGTGGTAAAGAACTGGACAGGCTTCCTGTGGATGAGTATCGACTCATATGAGGGGAAGGTGGGGTGAACCCATAGCCTACAACAATGTACAAGAACATGCTGTAAATAGGAACCATTTTGCTACTAATAAAGAAACCTTCAAATCTATCTATCTATCTA